GAATGCATAGCATGTGCCCAAAATCACAAGAGGAGACTGGAAGAGACTATAGCATGGTCATCCTCCCTGGGGAGTGATTTCTCTCTTCTGTCTGTCTTTCTCTGTCTTTCTGGCCAGCACACACACACTATAGCAAAAATCTCTCTCTGAAAAAAAAAAAAAAGTGGACAAATATTATTAATAGATATTTCCAAAAAGAAGACATACGAATGGCCAAGAAGACATATAAAAGCATATTAAAACTGATAAACATCATTAATCATTTGAGAAATGCAAATCAAAACCACAATGAAATATTCTCCTTTTCTAGTCAGAATGGCAATTATCAAAAAGACAAAAAATTAGGGCCAGGATGTGGCATGGAAGTTAAAGCACTGGATCCCACAGGGTTTGTTGCACTGTTCAAGTCTCAGACCTGGCGGATCGAAAATCATACTGGGTGCATGTACATGCATACCCAAAAATCTTGAGAGGAGAATGGAGGAGAAGGGATTGTGGCAAGACTATGACCCTAGGAGATGACTTCTCATTGTCCCACCCCAATCCCCACCCCCTCTGCCTGCCTCACATGAGAACATATGCACTATGGCAAAAAATATTAAAAGAAACCCCAAAACACAAAATAACAAATGAAGGCAAGAATGAAGAGAAAGGGGAAGTCTTTTACAAGGTTTGTGGGGGGCCAATGGGTGGTGCAGTGGTTAAGGTGCTGAACTCCCACATAGCCAACTGTGGTTCGAGCCCTGGACCCGGCAACTTAAAACCCACGCCCAGCATGTGTGCATGTGTGCCCTAAATCCCAAGAGGAGAATGAAGGAGAAAGGATTTCACCCTGGCCATCCTCCCTGGGAGGTGATTTCTGTCTCTCTGGTGAGCACATGCACCCTATGGCAAAAATCTAAAAACAAAACAAAAACAAAAAAAGACAAGGTTAATGGGTTGTAAAATGTAAACTACTATAGTTGTTATGAAAAAGAGTATGGAGGTTTCTCAAAATAAATAAATAAACAAACAAACATATGTAGAACTCAAGTATGACCCATCAATCCCACTACTAGACACATATTCAAAGGAAAGGAGATCAGTATATACTGTAGAAATATCTGCACTTCAACGTCCATACTAGACATAGTATTCTCTTTTTTTTTTGAAAGGTTTTTGCTATAGGGTGTGTGCGCTCGCCAGAAAGACAGAGAGACAGAAAACGAGATATCACCCCCCCGGGGGGGGTGGATAGCCACACCGCAATCCCTTCTCCTTCATTCTCTTCTCAGGATCTTGGGCACGCACACACACACACACACACACGGCGTGAGTTTTAAGCCACCGGGTCTGGGATTCGAACTGCGTCCAACTACATGGGAGTCCAGCGACATACCTATTTCGCTAACTGCTGGTCCCTGGTCCCTAGACATAGTATTCTTGTACTGAAAAACCTGTACAATTCTTTTTATGATTACTATGTTAATAAAAAGATGATCACAGCGAGTACTGATAAATGGTACCACACAGATGCACCTTGAAAACATTATGCTAACTGAAAGAAACTAATCACAAAAAAATCACATATGTATATCCTGTGTATATGAAATGTACAGAACAGTTAAATTTATAGACACAGAAAGTAGATTAGCAGTTGCCTAAGGCTAAGGAAGAAGGATAGAATAGTAAGGGGGTGAAGCTCAATTGAGTACGCTTCTTTAGGGGGAATGATAAAAATGTTTGAAAATTGGACCAGCTGGTAGCATGGTGAAGGCAGCAGGATCCCACAAGGCAGACTGTGCAATTCAAGTCCTGGACATGGGAGCATGAAAAGTACTTTGGGCATGTGCTCAAAATCCCTAATGGAAAAATGGAGAAGGGATTGAAGGGATTGTGGAATGACCATTCCCATGTGTGTGTGTGAGGGGGTGCTTTCTCATTCCCCCCCTCACGCTCGCTCGCTCTCTCTCTCTCTCTCTCTCTCTCTCTCTTTCTGTCTCTCTTAGGTGAGCACTATGCCCTCTAGCAATTTTTTTTAATTTAGTGTTCTAAAATTGATTGTGATTCTGCACAGTTCTTTGAATATATGAAAAACCACTGAATTTATCATTTGGAAGTTAACTTTCAATAAAGTTCTTCAAATTACCAGGAACTATTTCTGGGAAAAATCTACATAGTGAATAAAATAATTTTCCAGATTAGATACTTCGTCATCAGCCTCAAAAATTTAGTATTAACAGAATATATTGTATTTCAGAGGTAAATGAATGTATACATTTAAATCTGATATGGTCATTTCCTCAAAGGTTTATCACTACATGGAAAAGGTTATAATCAAAATCTACACCTTATAATATACTATATAAAACAAGCAACTGAATTATAGCTAAGAATATTTAACGACATTTAATGCCACATGATACCAAATTATAGTAGGCCTTTAAAAAACTGTATGGTAAGAGTATCAAAAATTAACTGTAAATGAAGAAACAGTTAAGTAGCAGAAGAGGCTAATTATATTGGTCTAACTTCTTTTTTGTCTCAGGAAAAAAAAAATGTTGTCTTTGCCAGGCTGAATGTAAAAGTCTGCGAATTATAAGATCAAACAAGCAAACTGTATGTTTTCTAAAATATGAGTATTCTTCATCAAGTTTTATACTTAGAGCAGCTAAAAGACCTATGTGAAAGGATCAGCATTAAGCCCAAAGGACAGGCAGTGCACAGCAAGAAAGAAAGCAATTCCCTCGTGTCTTTCGCAGGTCACTACCAAGGACCATGTTAGCAGATCCACACCAGACCCTTAACAGGCAGTTCTGCTGCTACCAGTAATTAGCTTGGACAGCTCTGGCTCCAAGAGTAGCAGCAAGGCTACACCATAATGAGCTCAGCTGGGATTAGCAGGACAGGGCAGGGAACCAAGAGAGCTCAGGCATTCTGCATTGCGTATGTATCTAGGAGATCAAACAAGGATGGCTGGCTAGGTTATCCCCTCTCCACCTCATTCCAAAAATGAAGCACGGCAGTGTCTAAAATACAGGCTAATGAAGAGCGACACCTCCAACAGATGAGAGCCACATTAATTAACACAATCCCTAGATCATATTATACAGTTTCTGTTAGAGCTAGCAAATGTGCAACTTGTTATTTCATAATACATATATATATATATTTTAAAAGCTAGTCTTCTTTTTCTTTACTTTTATTGGCAAAAAACAGATTATTTCGTTTTCAAATTTTATAAAGTATTTCTCTAACGGCCTTTCTGACACAAAAAATTTCTTCCAAATGTTTACCTAAGTCCCTTTTTTTAAGAAAGAAACTTACTTTTCAATCATTAGCTCTTGGTTCTCCCTTTTGAAATATGCCAGTTCATTCCATACAGCATCAGAATCTTCTTGTCGAAGTTGCTTCTTTAGGGGGAATGATAAAAATGTTTGAAAATTGGACCAGCTGGTAGCATGGTGAAGGCAGCAGGATCCCACAAGGCAGACTGTGCAATTCAAGTCCTGGACATGGGAGCATGAAAAGTACTTTGGGCATGTGCTCAAAATCCCTAATGGAAAAATGGAGAAGGGATTGAAGGGATTGTGGAATGACCATTCCCATGTGTGTGTGTGAGGGGGTGCTTTCTCATTCCCCCCCTCACGCTCGCTCGCTCTCTCTCTCTCTCTCTCTCTCTCTCTCTTTCTGTCTCTCTTAGGTGAGCACTATGCCCTCTAGCAATTTTTTTTAATTTAGTGTTCTAAAATTGATTGTGATTCTGCACAGTTCTTTGAATATATGAAAAACCACTGAATTTATCATTTGGAAGTTAACTTTCAATAAAGTTCTTCAAATTACCAGGAACTATTTCTGGGAAAAATCTACATAGTGAATAAAATAATTTTCCAGATTAGATACTTCGTCATCAGCCTCAAAAATTTAGTATTAACAGAATATATTGTATTTCAGAGGTAAATGAATGTATACATTTAAATCTGATATGGTCATTTCCTCAAAGGTTTATCACTACATGGAAAAGGTTATAATCAAAATCTACACCTTATAATATACTATATAAAACAAGCAACTGAATTATAGCTAAGAATATTTAACGACATTTAATGCCACATGATACCAAATTATAGTAGGCCTTTAAAAAACTGTATGGTAAGAGTATCAAAAATTAACTGTAAATGAAGAAACAGTTAAGTAGCAGAAGAGGCTAATTATATTGGTCTAACTTCTTTTTTGTCTCAGGAAAAAAAAAATGTTGTCTTTGCCAGGCTGAATGTAAAAGTCTGCGAATTATAAGATCAAACAAGCAAACTGTATGTTTTCTAAAATATGAGTATTCTTCATCAAGTTTTATACTTAGAGCAGCTAAAAGACCTATGTGAAAGGATCAGCATTAAGCCCAAAGGACAGGCAGTGCACAGCAAGAAAGAAAGCAATTCCCTCGTGTCTTTCGCAGGTCACTACCAAGGACCATGTTAGCAGATCCACACCAGACCCTTAACAGGCAGTTCTGCTGCTACCAGTAATTAGCTTGGACAGCTCTGGCTCCAAGAGTAGCAGCAAGGCTACACCATAATGAGCTCAGCTGGGATTAGCAGGACAGGGCAGGGAACCAAGAGAGCTCAGGCATTCTGCATTGCGTATGTATCTAGGAGATCAAACAAGGATGGCTGGCTAGGTTATCCCCTCTCCACCTCATTCCAAAAATGAAGCACGGCAGTGTCTAAAATACAGGCTAATGAAGAGCGACACCTCCAACAGATGAGAGCCACATTAATTAACACAATCCCTAGATCATATTATACAGTTTCTGTTAGAGCTAGCAAATGTGCAACTTGTTATTTCATAATACATATATATATATATTTTAAAAGCTAGTCTTCTTTTTCTTTACTTTTATTGGCAAAAAACAGATTATTTCGTTTTCAAATTTTATAAAGTATTTCTCTAACGGCCTTTCTGACACAAAAAATTTCTTCCAAATGTTTACCTAAGTCCCTTTTTTTAAGAAAGAAACTTACTTTTCAATCATTAGCTCTTGGTTCTCCCTTTTGAAATATGCCAGTTCATTCCATACAGCATCAGAATCTTCTTGTCGAAGTTGTTGGGGATCTACTCTCTTCATTTTTCTTATTTCAGTCCTATTTTTGAAATGAAATTGCTTTTTTCCTTATGTTGTTAAAAATGCAATAAAAATTAATTTATACATTCCTTAAAATACAAAAATACCTGCTCATCAAATTTCTAATTCAAGCTCACTATGTATTGGATGACTTTCTGAAAACATAAGCATGTAAAAATTAAACCCTGTTATCATCACTTCCTAAAGCTATGTTGCTACTATGGAAAACCAACTTTTCAGTCAATAGATGATGCTTTTATAGCTCTATTTCTCTCATTCATTCTAGTAGTAATAAAACATGAACACTGTAGAACTGTAGCAGTCTCCAAAAAAGATTACAAGCAATCAGCTCTTATAGAATTTGCAGGCAACCAAGTTGAATGTGGTATAGATGCTTTATCTTAAACCAAGCTATTACCAATGAGTATGCTAGAAAGTAGATTTCACTCTTCCAGTTATGACTAAAAAGTTTGGTGAGTAAAGGCTAAATCTAGGACAAACTGTTTTATCACTGCTTTACTGACAAGCAGTGTGAAACACTTTCCATTCATTAAAGGAAAAAATAAAAAAATGAGATGTGACAATCTTCAAGTGATGCCAAATGAATGCCCTTTACATTTTCATTTTCAGTACATAAACCAAACTCTATTTTTATTTTGGAAAAGTGCTGCACTAGCCAATTTAGAATAAGTATTTCTCTATAGAACAGACCAGTGTGTATCATCAATATTGCCCTAAAGGATCCATCTCAAAAGATGAGAGGGTAGTAGATTTTCTATACTTATTCAGTCCTTTGCCCTCTGTTGATACTGTTAACAAGGGAGCCACTTACGACTAACCAAGATCTGAACACCTGTTCAGAGCAATTGAACTGAGACCGCCAATTCATTCGGATAAGCTGGAGAACAAACTAATGTATAGTAAAGATCTTCAAATTGCATACTAGGTTGAAATAGTTTTAAGACAGTTAACTATATGTGTGAACTTCACATTTCTCTTGTCTTTCCATTAAAAATTAAACACTTTCAAATTATAAGTATTTTAAAACAATTATTTTATTTATGTACAAGCACTTTTCAATCGATATGGACATTAACTATTTTGCTTTAATTACTTATTAAACTCTTCCATTAATATTAAAAATGTATACCAGAATTTATAAATCACCTACCACTAGCTAATAATATCTGCAAAAAATGGGGAAAATGTATAGTTATTGCCAGCACATTTCTGTTTTCATTTATTATATTCTTCATTTAAAAATTCATAATAAAGATTTGACTACCAAATAATATTCTTAAAACCAAACAAAAGCCATTAAGACACCTATATAATGCTACTCATTCCATTTAATATTTAGGGAAATGTCTTTATGAGCTATGTAACTCACATGCCACTGCCTTCTTCCCACTGTTTTAATTGCTCTTTTAGTGCTCTGTAGTTGGTCTGTAACATCTGTAGCCTTTCCTTGCGTCTTTCATGGGCATCTCTAAGCTCATCATTTTCTTGGCTCTGTAGAACACAAAAAAGCAAATATGTAAGTTTAAAGGAAGTATTTAAAGGAAGTATAACGTTTCAAATAAAAGCTTATCATCTAAACAAATTTTGAAAAATACACTGTAGAAAAATGAATGAATCTGTAATACTTGTTTAAGTAGAAGGGAAGAATTTATCAAGTCATAGAATAGGTTTACATGAATTTAAGTTTTTAAAGCTGCTCACATAATTTCAAAATTTTACTATAAAATTAGTTTTATTCCTAACCCTGTTGCTTATTAATACATATAAAAATATTGTTAAGCCTATTTTACAAATTTTTCATTTTTCTTCTTTTCAACACAAGAATTTGTCCATACGTGAAACACGATTTGTTAAAGTATAATTATGATTACTGTGAAACCAATTCTTTATCCCATCAATTCATGATTAATATGTAAAAAAGCACAGGGTTACACAGGAGGAAAAAAAATGAAACTGGGCTGATGTTACAAGTAGCACAGTTTAATCTTTTTGGGTTGTACATGAAGACCTAGAAGAGGAGAACTAGGTTTAGTACTCTCAAAGAGGTAATAAATAAACAGTCTAAACATGATATTGTCTCAACATCTAGCTGAAACAATTACAGTCAATTACTACTAAATGAACAGCATATAAGACAAATTTTCATTTTTAGATACAATCATAAAATGGATTTATGAAAGCCAAATTCTTAGTCCTCAGAAGACGTAGTCACAGGGACCAGCAGTTGGTATAATGTCTGCCACTGGACTCCCATGCAGTCAACTGTGGTTCAAGACCTGGACCTGGTGGCTTAAACTCACACCAGGCACATGTGCATACATGTCCAAGGTCCTCACAGGATAATAGAGGAGAAGGGATTATGGTGTGGTCATCCCCCCCTGCAGGGGGTGATTTCACACTTTCTGTCTCTGTCTCTCTGTTTTCCTGGTGAGCACATGCATGCCTTAAAAAAAAAAATGTAGTCACATTATTTATGAACCATGTTTCTCAAAGTTAGATAGATATCATACTGAGTTTTTCTCCCATGAGAATTTCAAATATTTTTAAACTCTTATTAATAGTTCTTTATGAATAAACTTGTATAAATATTTGGTAGAGGCATCAAATACTAATATTTTAGTGGCATGAGATAGGTAAGCATATAGTAATACCTGTTAGCTGCATGACCTTTTTTATAAAAAATTATTTAATTTCATTTATTATTATTTTTAAAATTTGCTATAGGGCATGCATACTCACTAGAGAGAGATGGAGAGAAAGAGAGGGAAAGTGAAAAAGCAAACTGCCAGGTCTGGGACTCGAACCACAGTCAGCCATGTGAAAGTTAGTACCCTAACTACCGTGCTGCCTGCTGACCCTGGTTGCATGACCTTAAGATCTTATATAAATACTGATAATAATAGTTCATAGAGTTTTTATTATTTTACTGTAATTCTAATGGTCTCAGCAGTATAAATATAAGTACATTCAATTTTAAATATATTTCTAATACAATAATTCTCTTGAGCATTTAGTAGGAAGTATTCAAGTCTTGTGTGTATCATGAAGTGTTCTATATGCCATTGGAAAATGGAAGTGCTTGATGGAAAAGCATGAGAATAGCTTTCCTTGACAGGGGTATTCAGAATACATTTTGTCCTAAAAAGCTTTAGAAGATATAAAGATCATAATTATTATAAACTTGCTGAGAAGCATAATTAAGTATATGAAGTACAAGTAAAAAAATTGAGAATACTGAGTTCAATTTTGTTCACTTCAATTGGAAAATCATGTATAAAAAGTTTATTACATGCACAATCTTAAATGTTGATGTTATATTCAAATCTTTTTTTGAAGAATTATTTTATTTAACACTATTTATTCATTTATTTATTTGACCATAGAGGAACAGAGTGAGAGAGAGAAAGAAGGGAAGTGAGAAAGCACGCCTCCAGGTCTGGGACCCAATCCGTGGTCAGCCATGTGGGAGTTCAGTGCCCTTAACCACCACGCCACCTTCCAACCCCTGTTACATTCAAATCTTGCTGCTCAAAGTTACTAAATATTACTTTAGCAAAGCTACTTAATTTAATATGTCTTAGTTTCTCCATGTACAAAATAGAAGCTACTTCTATCTCTTCTTCTAAGACAGGGAGAATGATTTCAACTTGCACTTGAAATTTATACACTAAGTCTGGTTAACAATCCAAATATTAATCACTTATCTTCAAACTATAAGCTTTTCTAATCTTAAGTATGTGAAATAAATGAATAATTAGCAAAGAAGAAGACCAATAATTAAAAATGTTTTTTTATGGATGAACACAAATTAATTATACTTATTGGGATTAAGATTCCTAAAAGATCAATTAAAAACTTAAACAGGCTGGGGATCAGCAGGTAGTGCAGCAGCTAAGGTGCTGGAAACCCACATGGCTGACCATGGTTCAAGTCCTAAACCTGGTGGCTTGCTTTCTCACTTCTTCTTTCTCTCTGTCTGGTGAGTACATGTGCGCTATAGCAAATTAAGTAATGATAAATTAAATAAACGATTCTATAAAAAAATTTTTTTTATAACAGGCTAGGTCAGCAAGTGGCATGGAGGTTATTACAAATGGATCCCACATGATTGACTGTGTGGTTTGAATATTGGATCTAGCACCTTGAAAAACATGTCAGCTGAATGTGCATGCATGCCCAAAATCCTGAGAGCAGAAAGGGGCAGGAGTTGCTGTGTGACTATCCCTCAGGGGATGATTTCTCTCTCTCTTCCTGGAGAGTACACATGCTCTATGGCAAAACTAAAATAATAATAATAATAATAAATTAACGGAGTCAGCCCATAGTATGGTGATTAAGACAGTTAAATCCAACATGGCCCACTGTGTTGATCAAGTCTGGACCCAGCAGCTTGAGAAACACCAGTTGCATGTGTGTACACACCCACAATCTCAAATGGAGAAAGAGACAGAGGAGCAGGGATTGTAGTATGGCGGTTCCCCATGGTGGGGGTGATTTCTCACTTTCTCTCTCTGGCAAGTACACATGCCAACTGACAAATCAAAAAAAAAATTTTTAACAGAAATTTATTAATTAGGGACCAGCAGTTGGCATAATGGTTATGTCGCTGGATTCCCATGTAGTCAACTGCAATTTGAGTCCCAGACCTGGTGGCTTAAACTCATGCCAGGAGCGTGTGCGTGTCTGCCCAAGATCTCGACAGGAGAATAGAGGAGAAGGGACTGCAGTGTGGCCATCCCCCCTGGCGGGTGATTTCTCGCTTTTTGTCTCTCTTTCTGGCGAGCGCACACACCCTATAGCAAAAACATCTCCCCCCACCAAAAAAAGTAATTTATTAATTAGAAATTTATTAGAAATTTATTAATAAGATAATTTAATTATATGAAATATATAGAGCATACTAAGAGTTACGTCAAAACAAAATGAAATAAACTTATAGTTAAGCTAAAATGAATACTATATGTTAAAGACTTCTACAATAGCATTCTGTAATTATTCTTCAATAAATAAAAGTTCTGTAATTTATTAATTAGAAATTTATTAGAAATTTATTAATAAGATAATTTAATTATATGAAATATATAGAGCATACTAAGAGTTACGTCAAAACAAAATGAAATAAACTTATAGTTAAGCTAAAATGAATACTATATGTTAAAGACTTCTACAATAGCATTCTGTAATTATTCTTCAATAAATAAAAGTTCTTCCCCCATAAATTCTATTTTATAATGAATTTCTTTAAATTATTAAATATAAATTCAGTTTTTGAGAAATCATTAAAGCTCTATGTTAAGAGTCATTAGATATTTTTAGTAAATAAAACCTAAAAGATTGACCAAGAACTGCAAATGAATAGAATGAAACACACGAACTTTCTCGATTACCTTTTACTATGAACCTCTGTTGAATTAGTGAAACAAACTGAGTTTTTTATTAAGTAATGATTGTCACTATTTTACCATTTTTTGATATTGTTTCAGCTACCAAATAATCATTGAATTTGTACTTAATTTTTTCCAAAATTCTCAAACATTAGCTATATTATGTCATTAAGCCTAAGATTAAGACAATAAAAATCTCCTATGTCCCATATATCTCTCATATTGTCCTATATCCTTAGTAGGCATCCTAAAAAATCAAAACACCAAATGCTGTCATTTCTGATTCCAAAAATTTTAGTGTAAAACACTCGAAATTAGCAAATAATTCTGGTTTTCCTATAGTAATTTAAATTGGCTCTTTCCATTGTGTAGTAAACATAGAAAAGTGGTTTTACCAAGGAGCATTCTCCTTCACTTGTTTCTTATTTTATTATATCTAACACTACAATGTTTACATAATTCTTACAAATTTATTACTAAATTTATATAAATTATAATTATAAATTAATAAATATAAATTAATAAATTAATTGTAAATTATGAAAAATATAACTAGAGATTTGTAGATCAATTTGATAGAAATAATAAATCATAATAATTGCTTTAAAATGCAGTTTCATTGGGACAGCAGATGGTGTAATGGTTGTGTCACTGGATTCCCATATAGTCAACCGTGGCTTAAGTCCTAAACCCAGCAGCATAAAACTCACGCTGGGCGTGTGTATGCCCAAAATCCAGAGAGGAGAATGAAGGAGAAGGCATTACAGTGTGGCCATCCATGCTGGGTATGATTTCTTGCTTTCTGTCACTGTCTATCTCTGTTTCTCCAGCAAGCACACACACCCCATAGTAAAAGTCTCCCTTAAAAAAGAAAAAATGGGGAACCAGCAGTTAGCGTAATGGCTATGTCACTGGACTCCCACGTAGTCGACCGCGGTTCGTGTCCCGGACCCGGTGGCTTAAAACTCATGCCGGGCGCGTGTGCGTGCATGCCCAGGATCCCGAGAGGAGAGTGGAGGAGAAGGGATTGCGGCGTGACCATCCTCCCTGGGGGGTGATTTCTCGCTTTCTGTTTCTATGTCTCTCTCTGTCTGTCTGGCGAGCGCA